TAGTCACGGTACTAGACCAGACATATCTTTCAGCGTAAATTATTCAAGTAGATTTCAAAATTGTTATGATGAGACACATTTCAAATACGCTTTGAGAAGTTTTAAAGTATTTGTACTATACAAAACATCTAAAATTAATCTAAAATTTACTATTCAGTTCTATAGTAAAAATCTTAAAACTGATATTATGAATTGTTATGTTGATGCTGATTGGGCAGGTGATATTGTTGACAGAAAGTCAACTACTGGGTTTGTTATTGAATTATTTGGTAATCCAATTTACTGGAAATCCAAAAAAGCAAATTGTGTGACAAAATCTTCCACTTTTGCCAAATATATTGCTTTATATGAGGCTGTGACAGAAATTAATTTCTTGAAAAATGTTGTGAATGATGTTTTTGCTGATATAACTCACCCCATTAAAATTTATGAAGATAATTCAGGAGCTTTGGCCATTGCTAATTATGGGAACTTCACTAAAAATTCAAAACACATAGAAGTTCAATATCATTATGTTCACGAAAATGTTCAAAATGGAGTAATTGAAATTGTAAAGATTGATTCAGAATCAAATATTGCAGATATCTTTACTAAGTCTTTAGGAAAGATTAAATTTATGAAATTTAGGGAAGGTTTGAAATTGAAATAAATTTTGTGTACTGTTTATTTAAGTGATGTTTATTTAAATATTTTTGCTTTAAATGAAATAGATTTTGGTAATGTCCTTATGTAAACTAAATTGTGTTTAACTTTGATTTTAACATTTAAGTTAATGAAAGAAACCTTTTTAAAAATAATTTGTGTTAAGTGTTGAATGTTATTGGTTATATCTATGCTTAATTGTAAATGGTAAAGATGAAAAGGTTGCTTATATCTGTTTATTTGTAATTAGTAAATATAAATGTAAGGAGGCGTGTTAGTTTGGTACATTTATCTTTACCATATTGGCAACACCAAGTTCTCTCTTCTCTGTGTGCGAGCTATAGATGCCGATGTAATGTTGTGCATGTGTTGTTAAGTTTCAATAAAAAATGTGAAAAGATACGTTTCTTATTTTTCGACTTGCTTCTTCATATGACATCGATTTATTTAACAAAGATGGTGATAATTTTAAAATGCCAAAGAATATTCTATTTAGTCAAAATGGACGTTAGTCCCGAATGGGATATTAGTCTTGAAATGGCATTTTGTGTGAAAACAAATGCATTGTATCACATTTCAAATTGTTGCCACCAAATATTATCGCCCTGTATTATATTTAAAGAATCTAAATAATAAAAAATATTACATGAACTACACAGTCCAGTCACATTAATGTGACCATCTGTCAAAAGCCAGAATAACCACCTTTCGCAGAGCGGACTGCTGCGAGACGTGCAGGAAGAGAGTCACATAGGTCCCTGAAGGTGTTCTCTAGGATGTTGAGCCATGCCGACTCTAATGCCGTGGCCAGCTGCGCTAGATTACGCAGTTGAGGATCCATGGCGCGAACAACTCGATCGAGATGGTCCCACAGATGCTTGATTGGGTTTAAGTCAGGTGAGTTTGCTGGCCAGGGGAGGACGGTAAACTCATCCTGGTGCTCTTCGAACCACGCACGTACACTGGCAGCTGTATGGCACCTCGCATTGTCCTGCTGGAAGATGCCATCATCCTGAGGAAAAACAATGCGCATGTAGGGGTGAACATGGTCCGCAAGGACAGATGCGTACTGTATTGATCCATTGTGCCTTCCACAATGATCAGTGAACCTAGAGAATGCCAGGAAAACATTCCCCAGACCATAATGCTCCCGCCTCCAGCTTGGACCGTTCCGGCAATGGTTGCAGGGTGGTTCCTTTCAGAGGTTTCACGCCTTATACGCCAATGTCCATCTGTCCGATGGAGCATAAAACGCGATTCATCCGAAAACGCAACCTGTCGCCACTCAGTGGACGTCCAGCTGCTGTACTGGCGTGCAAATTCTAGCCTTCGCCGTCGATGAACAGCAGTCAGCATAGGTGCACGAACCAGGCGTCTGCTTCGGATGCCCAGACGCAGCAATGTTCGCTGAATAGTACTTTGGGAGACACTTTTGGTAGCCCCTTGGTTCATTTTGGTGGTCAGTTGCTCAACGGTAGCCCGTCTATCTGCCCAAACGCATCTCCGCAACCGTCGTTCGCCTCTGTCATCTATGGCCCGTGGTGCACCACATTTGCCACGTCGCTGATTTTGGACAGTCCCATTTTGCCATGCACAGTACACTTTTACCACGGCGGCACGCGAACAGTTCACAAACTCAGCCGTTTCGGAAATGTTTCCACCCTTGGCCCGAAAGCCAATGATCATGCCCTTTTGGAAGTCGGATAAATCGCTTCGTTTCTGCATTACGCCAACGATTGAAATGTTTTCCGAAGCCCTCACACACCCTTTATATACGCTCAACTGCACTGTGCTGCCACCTGCCTTCTGTGATTGGTTATTTAACTTAGACATGGAAAGTACGTGGTGGTCACATTAATGTGACTGGACTGTATGTATGTTTCTCACATTGTGAAAAAACAATGGTACCTAGTGTCATTAAATATTTAATAACATGGTTACCTGGCACCCCAAATTAGGAATTTGTTTTATTTTGTAAAATTTTAACAAATTTTTTATTTAAAAAACTCAACAATTTCAAAGCAATCAGTAGCAACACTTTGTGAAACTGTCTTATCGAAAATTTTAAAGATATGCTGTTTTAAAATATTTATAGCCCAAATTCTCTTGAAACATGTATGTATTTGTAACTGGAAAAAATGCTTATTTGGGCATAATACGAAATCTGAAAGCTTTCAGATTTTATTATTCATTTATTTATTTTTGAGAGAGAGATTTGAATAAGAAGTAATTTTGAACTCATGTTTATATTATGAAATTAAATTGAAAGCATGCCTGAAAAAGGGAGTAAGGTGCCAAAATTCAACAATTTAGTTTTATTTTTAAAGTTTAAATGAACTTAATTAAAAGGGGAAAAGCTAAGATGTGTTTTGCTTTTGATCAAAAAAAAGATGGGGGGGGAGAGAAAAGACAGTACTTGCACATTATCCCTTCGCCAATTAATGGAAATCTTGGCAATGGTGCAGATCAGAAAGCATTAAGCAGAATTTTAAAGAACATGGTCATCCATAATTGGCACTAAATTGTGCTACTTGGTTTGCTGATGGGATAATATATAAGTTGTGAAAAGATTTATTTTTATCATTACTTTCATAATTCAGTTAACTGTAGCTTCAGTTGCCATATTATTTTTCCCCCACAACATTAGTTTTACTTTTAAGTTGGTAAATAACACATTTATAATATTTCATAGAACTCAGCAGCAAAATGGTTATGTGTTAAAATATAACTTTTATTATGCTGTTTAACTGGAATAGTTAGTGCCTAGTGAAGTTAACTGCCATATGGAAGGACCCAGGTTTGAATCATGGAGAAGGCATGAATGTTTGTAAATTAATAGTGTGCATGTGGCATGGATGCACTCTAAATATGCAGCGAGCCAAAAGTCCTCTCAAGAGGTTGATGGTAGGAGAAGAGGGTGGGAAACTCTCAAAACCATTTACCCCCCCCCCCCCCCGGAGGTTGCTCTCCTTCAAAACTGGGGGCAGAACTGAGTAAAGTCGTACTGTCATCTGTATGGTGCTCAAGGCTCTTGCCAGACAGGCAAAATCTTGCATTTATTACCACGATGCATTTCGTGGGCTTGTTTTGATGTTACTGTCAGACAAATGAGATAAGTCATAGCAACACTTTTATTGTATTGCGATGCGGAATTTTTGGTAAAGTATATAATTTTGGTAAATTATTAAGAATTACTAGTAAATAATTGCATTTATAGTAGTAACTATTTTTTTGCTTCCTTTCTTCTTAGGTTGGAAATAAACTAATCAAGGGAGCAAAAATACGAACATTACAGTCTTTGAATGAAAATAAATAAAGTGTTATTGAAGTCAAAAAAGCTAATTCTTCGTACAGAAAGTTTTTAAGATATGTGTATTTTATTTGTTGTGTGTTTTATATGTATTTATTGATGGTGATCTGTACAGCAAGCATTATTTACATTGCTACTTATTTTTAAATAAAACTGATAAATGTAAACTTTGTAGTTTTCAAATATTTATTAAATCAAACTTATTAAACATATTTCAATTTTACAATTCAAAGAATATTTTTTCTAATGTATAGTTGAGACTAGAATTGCATAGTATTTAGTTAATGTTTTTGTAATGGGCTTTTAATTAAAAGGTCTCTGTTTTATAAAACAATATATCAACTTTTATGAAATCAAAAGTTGTCCACTATAGCATATTATTTCATTGAAACTACGTCTTATGCGCTTAGGAATTAATATTGTAATTTATCTGTTTAATTGACTAGGACATATTTTTGTTCAAAATCTAAGGATGACAGAAACATTTCACTTTTCTTTTGTAGACATATAAAAGCATTTTAGTTCTTCAATTTCTATGTAAATAACATTTTTAGGTTTCCATGTGGTTTTTGAATACATTGATTTTCAAAGTATGAAATATGGTAGAAGTTTTAGGGTTTTGAGAACTGGAAATATAGTGTTCGTGTATGTATTAAGCAGTTTTCCATCTGTACTTATTACTATAAATACACTGATAAGCACATTTGACCTCCTTCAGCATGTGCGTATTTATAGCGATTCAGAATTAAAATTTTTACATTATTAATCCTCATCTATAGAATATAATGAAAATGAATGGCAACTCAGTTAATTAACATTATGTGATATATAATATTATGCATTTTTAGCCATAAGCAAAAAGCAAGTCAAAAATTAACTTTTCTTCTAAATTTTTAGTAAATAGTTTGCTTGAATTATTTCTTGTAATGGAATTCTTTTTCATGTATAATAAATGATGAAATACATTTTAAATGGAATGTGCATACTGTAAAAATTTCTTTATGTAAAGTTTAATTTTCATCAATATACTTTAATAATAACACAGATATTATATTCTACTGTTTATTAATCTTGTAAATGACATAATTGTGGCATTTAACCCATATCAACTGCACTGCTTTAAGTAGTCTAAAAAATAAAAAAAAAATTTTCTCATATTTGAAAAATCCAACATATGACCACTATTTCACATTTTCCTAGAGAAGAAAAATAGTAATTGGACCTCAAGATAAATATTAAGGCTAAGACATTGAATGCATATCTCGTAAGGAAAGGCAAAAGAAGGTATATTTATGCATACATTCTACAGTTTCATTGGTGAGTCTTAACATTTTAAATCCAAAAAATAAATAAAATAAAAATTTCCATTAATTTTTGAAATTCTTTGAAAGACATTAAACACTTTATAATAAGAAAATGTTAGACTTTCATTTACACATATTATATGGTTAATTACACAGCAAAATGTGTATAACAAGAAGTAACAATTCTCACAGAATAATATATACAAAAACAAAAAGCATTCACTATCATATATTTATCTTAAAAAAGCATTTGATCAATGACACGAAAAGGTTATTTTTGCAAGATAAATTAAAAATTATTTTGAATGAATGTTTTAATAAACTAATTCACACAGTTAATTACATTTCAATTAATTATTTGTTTACTTCTCAAGTTGAAGCAAATAGAAATCAGCTCTAATAGCAGATGATTGATTCGAAAATTTCTTTGCTATCCTATTTCAAAATCTTCTTGCTGGATAAGCTCCTTTAATATTTTCAGGACCTGAGACCCAAATTTATATCTTAAATTAACTATACCAGTCCTTGAAATAATTCTATAATTTATGGAAATCTACAGAATTAATGTCACTTTTATATAAGTGCAAGATGCTAATTTTTGTAACCTATTAAAAATTATATATATATTTTTTTCTAAGGAAAATAAATAAAGCAATAGAAGTTTGTAAACTAACTGTTCTCAAGCAAGGAATACCTGTGACTCTACTGCAACTGTTTATTGCTTATTGTAACATGATCTAAATTTAAGACACTTTAACTTTCTTGTTTTTTACATTATGCTGTATAATATTAGTACTTATAATTTAAAATAGTTTTCAATACTGAAACAAGTCAAATTTCTTAAACTGATTAAGAAAAATTCCATAAGTATTATCAAATAAACAAAACATTACAAGTTAATAAACAGTAACAAAGTTATAGAATAACTTACACAAAGAATTCTTGTTCATTTCGTGATATGTAAACAAAACAAAAATCATGTTTAGAATAGTATTCACTCATTTATCAAACTAATCAATATCACAGCAGGAAGATTTTTTTAAATCAAGAACACATGAATAGAACAGCACAGATTTTTATCACAGACAAAAAATAATTTCTCATACATTGTTAAAAAGATAAGTATATAGTCATGAAATGCTTGTATATAAATACAAATATTTGCTGTTTTAAAAATTTGCTTTAAAAGATCATGTACCAAATTAATGACACATGCTTCATGTTTCATTTAACTTGTTCTTCCTATATATCCACATGTAATGAAAAGGTAATTCATTTTTATAAAAAATTCTTACTTTTGAAAAGAAACTTTGCTAACAAGATTGAGCAGTTAAAAAGTTTTTTGGTAACTTTCCCTTAGATAAATAATTATACAAATGTAAGCTAAAGCAGTTTTAATATATTGCAATAATTTAGTATTTATTGTGATACATTAAATAACATTCTTACTTTAATAATAATAAAATTGTATTGTTATGTAGAGATTTGGTTTCTGAGTTAATTGTAAATGTTGTATGATTCCAGAACAGGATTGACAAGTAATTAAGACATGAGCGGATAATTTGCAGATACCAGTGGAAAAAAAAATAAATGGCATGTGAATAAAGGATCTTTTTGCTTTCTGAAGAGAGAGAATTTCTTCTATTGCTTTAATGAGTAAAACACTTCTGAGCCATGGGATGCTAGCTGAAGAAGTGTGGATGTGTGCTTTGAAAGAACAAACTTCCTTACATGTGAATTGTTGGCAAGTCTTTTTTTTTTTTTTTTTTCTGTGAAGTTTTTTCTAATTTTTTGCATCCTTAATTAAATTTATCTTCACCATATGGAATGAATTTTGCAAATGCATGACTAAGTTCTTGAGTGGCATTATATGTCCAAAATTTTGGCTGGGTCAAAATATCCACAGGCAAGGTTAAGTCATGACCATATAGCAAGAGCACAAGGCTTTCTTTCTGAGTTTGATGGTGCCCCATGTGGTGAGGCATTAAGTTTGGTCTGGTTGTGACAAGGCACTCAGAGGCTATCTGTCTAAGGGGAGGTATGTCTTCATGGAGGACTTTCTAAGGGAAACTGGCTTGTATATATGTTACAAGCACAAAAACACCCATGCAGCCAACCCAAATATCCGACTGAATTACGAGTATTCAGCTACTTTACCATTCGGTCACTGGTGGATGGTGAGCCAGCAAGACAAAATGCAATTGATGGTCCCAACATTCCCAGGTTTCAGAAGTCAAGCGGCTTAGCAAATTAATAAAGCTTGGCATTTAATTTTTCCGCTACACCGTCTGATTTTGGTAATGTTAAATTTTTTGTCAGCATCTTTTAGGGTCCTAAAAGTGAAATCACTACCCCAATCAGTAACAGTGTGATTAGAAATCCCATGGTAGCAATAAGGTCTTATTTTTTTATTTATTTTTTATTATTATTATTCATACTCTATTTATCTTTCCACTGGCATCTGCAATTTAACTGCTCAAATCCCCAATTACCTGTCCTTCCTGTCATAGAATCATACTAAATTTAGAATTAAGCCTTTAGGGTGAATGTCTGCATAACAATATCTATTTCATATACCAAGTTAGTGTGAATTTAGATTTTAAATAGCGATACTTCAAATTAATCCCAATAATAAAATACATGTATACTGTGTAGAATGGAATGCTAGTAAAATGGCTAGAAAGAAAAAATCTTAAACAGCAATAAGACCCTATTTGCAATTTATACAGTTTAAGCAATTATTATGACACCGAGATTATTTTCATGAGAAATTATTTTGAAATCTAAGGTCAGCTATATTAGAAAGGTAAATGCATCCAAATGCAATGACATTACTAATTATTCTTATAAAATATTGAACATAGAGAAAAAGTGTACTGCATCATACTGAATAGCTCTAGAATTACATGAAATAAACCATTGATAATCTTTGTATCTGAAACTAAATTAATATGCAATTGAAATATGTAATAGTTTATGTCCCTATAGTACACTGTTTCCTTTAACCTGTGTTGCACTATTGCTATCAAAATATATATATTTAAAATTATATAGCAAAAAACTTTTTATAATGTATTTGAACTCTTTTATAATGTATTTGAATGCTTGCATACATGCAGAAATTACTTATTTGAAACAATGTGCTTTTATGTTAAATATATAAAAGACAAGTAAGTAACTACTTGAAAAGCTGTTTATTGAGTCCTATAGTTTCCAGTTTGGGTATACATATAATTCTTTACAAACAACGATCTGAAAATCAATTAACCGGCAATTATATGTAATTAATATACTATACTATGAACCAAAATATATGCTATAATGAAAAATCTGTACTCCAATCTAGAAATATAAATTTGTGACTAAAAGAATATGCTGCTGACTGGCAGCTCTTCTCAGAAATAGAAGCAACAGCAAATTTTAAAATAAACATGAGTCATATTGGTTTCATTATAAAGTAAATGTGTTTAATTAACTAAGTTCAAAAAAGAAAAAAATGGAATGTTTTCTTGATGAAATAACATATGATAACAATTTGTTCTATTATATATTAACAAAGCATATGCATACTTTTAAAAATTGTAAGTAAAAACTTAAATTGTTACACACATATAGTATCTGTGAAATACAGTAGACAAATATTTGTTAATATCACCGAAAGTATTATGAATTTCTTTTCATTGCTGCAGTAACTATCCCATGAAAGTAAAATTAACGTAAAAATTTTATCAAAATATGAAAATGATTTTTATCAAAATGATTTAAAAGCTTCATCTATAAAAGTACTAAAAAATTAGCTTCGTAACACAACTGTATACCTGCATCATTACAACTATCCATATATTACTCATAAAAACAAGAATAATTGTTTGTAATTTTACCATTATTATATCACAAAAGATGTTACTTCTTGTTTCATTATTTTATAAATAAGCATTTAGTTCTTTGTGTGACACTTACTACCAAGAGACTCCTCTAGTAAACATACATCTTAGCAAATTTATGTAAATTGCATTTTACTTGCAAACAAATAACTAGAAAGAATTAACAGAGGTGACTGTGCTAATGATCTGAAATTACCTAAGAAATAAACATGGATTTTACTGTCTTATACTTCAAAATTTGGTAATGGGTTTAATACTTTTTAAAATAAAATGAAACATTAAAAAACAGAAGAGTTGATTTTTAAATTTATTCTAGATTGTTTTTATTTCTTTATAAGTAATAACTTTTATTCTTTTGCTCAGTTTTCAAAAATTTCTTATAAATTAACAATCACCCCTGCTTAAGTATCCAAATTATGAAATTCAGTAGAACTGCATATATAGCTACATTAGTTTAAATAGGAAAAAGAAGTATCAAAGCTAAGCCATAGGAATATTTGCTTCATATATTTGACCAGAGCACACATAGCTGCTACACATATACATTTTTATTTTATGTAGTAAAATTTCATTTCTGATTCTACCAAATCTTTAAATAGATCCTCAACTTCTTTTGCTTTATCAGAAGTAAAGTTTTCCACAAAACTTTCCATATCTTGAACACACTGTGTTTCTAGACGCCTCAGGACTGAAATAATTTCTTGTCCTTTGGGATTATCACTGGTAAGAATTGGGTATGCTTTTTGATGTTTTGTATACAGGGTATGACAACGATTCACCACCTTCTGAAACCTTGGTTTAACCTGTTAAAAAATATCAGTTAGTGACTCAACAAAAAAATAAAAGGAAAGTGAAACAGCAGCTTTAAACCACATTTAAGAAACTAAAGGCATTCAGTGCTGGTTTTTGATTGAATAAAAATGCATAAAATATTATAATCTATATGTTAAGTATGTTTATTCATTGAGGTTAAAATAGTTATAAATTATGATTTGCATTTTGCTTAAAAATATTTATTCTTATGATACATTCATTATGCTAGGAAATGCATTGCACATATTGGGTGATGCAGAAGTCAAATTGCATTTAGCAAAATGATACGTTTAAGGAACCAAAAAAAAATATAAATCATCTTACAAATGAAGACTTGCACATGCTATTTATTATGTGTATACACAGGGTTTGTACATATTTCTGTAAATGGAAATTAAGGATCTATCAGTAAACACAGAAAGCATGCGATCTTTTGTGTGAAAGTGCTCGTAATGAAACAATAGTTCATAGATTGGAGGACCCACTTTCAGCAGCAGACATTAAATCATGATGCTCTTGATCCAGCATCTCTGTTGAAAACAGCACTAAAGGAAAGTGAATGACAGCATTATATGCAAGACCAAAAAATTTGAACTTGGAATATTAACGCTGAAAGAACTTACAGAGGAAGTTATAGAGTTATCATTAGCCATCTGAGTAGGCAGGTATGTGAAAAAATGATTATGAATTTCATCAAAAGAATGTAGTACTGTAGAGGATATTAATTCAGAACAAATATTTTCAGTTTTCTAAAATTGAAGTACTTTACTGGACATATTAAATTTGTTGCTTTTATTAGGACAACCGTTATATACGTCCAGAATGTTAACTCTCACTCCAAATGGCATTCACTGAAAAAAAAATGGAATTGTCTAATGAGAAAAATTAAGGATTGTTTGCAAAATTTTCATCGAAATTAGGGACTTTTACAGACCAAAAATCATTTCTAAAAAACCTAAGAGCTTTTAAAGCCTGCCCCCTCCCCCTCTTTTTTTTTAACAAAAATGTTACAAATGAGAGTTCTTTATTAAATATGTATGTTTACCCAAATCCAAGTGTAAAAAATCTTCCTGAATTTTCAAAATTGCATGTTTCTGTTTTTCACATATTATTTATTTTTCCATTTATATTTTATTTAATTAATTTGTATCATATGTGTGTGTTTATATATATGTGCACAGTTGAGCTATGTTAAATATAAGAACTTACTAAATTAGTATTTTATATACACACTGCTTTTGCAAACTAAAATGAATATAAAATATACAAAACTATATGTTGCTAATTTTAATTTTATGATTGCATGTTTTTAGAGTTTAAATTCCAGTCTCACATAAAATGTTATATTTTTAAAGATCCCACCTTATTGCAGAATATTTAGTTATCACAAGAAAAAATATGATTTTAATTTAAATTAATATTATTCCTCATCTATAGAATAGAATTCAAAATTTTTAGAGCATACTATTAAAAGAGCATATACACTGGTAGCTTTGACTCATAATACTTGCTTGTAAATATGATCACCACATGCAAGGAAGCAATTAATCAAAAGTTTCAGAAAGAGAAAAAGGGGAGAGGACAAAAATCATATCATTATATCTCAAATAACTACTTTCTTTTAATAACAAATGGCATAGTATATAACACTGATTCTTGCTGTTTGACTTCTCCGTATGTTATTGGTTTGGGGGCAACTTCCCCTTGATAAGACTTTCTCCTACCTGCTCAACAGTCATTCATTTATGCATTTAAAAAAAATTTTTTTAGATTAATTTTAATTTGCTAAATTGGTGAATTTATTTTCATGGTTTGGTTTTGCACTTGATTTACTTATGCTATCTGAATTAAATGATATTGTAGATTAGTTCGAAAATAAATCCTTTATATGTTTGCACATTTTTTAATTTTAACTTTAAATTTGTTTTTTTTTTATGTATAGACATGTTTGTTAAAATTTAAAATTTGTTTAAATTTAAAATTATATATATATAAAATATATGTATAGATATATACATAGATAGATGTATAGACATAGAGTAAGAAATTTAGAACCCATTCTACACAAAGACCCCAAAAGAGTGCAATTCAATACTAATAAATTTCAAAATGTCCAATAAATATAAAATGAAAATTAAAGAAACATGCATGTACTGAGTTCCATAATAATTATTTAATTAATACCTTAGCAGGATCTTCATTATCTGGATAAACAGGTGACACAATATGACGAGAAATACGATTCGATGAACAAAACACAAAAGGTTTGAAAACAGAGTGAGCAGGGTCAGGTGTTCCTGTGAACCAGTGACAACATGAGCGCATTGAATCAGGAGATGCTAGTACCGAGACCTAAATTTTAAATATTATTAACAAATCAGTACAAGAAAATATTACAAGCATATTTCCAAATTACAAAAACTATTTTTTTATTTCACTCCCAACGAGCATAAAAATAAAAGTGAATGGGAAAATATATAATACTACTGTTATTTCTCCGCATAATCTGCCTTTCCAATCAAAACAGTTTTGATAAAGTTTCACCAATTACATGCTTTTATTCAGTTGTTTTATCCAATTGTTATACCATTTGTTACATGCTTAGCTTAGACAGACTATTTTACTTCCTAACTTGTAAATAAACCTGTTTCATAATCTGAACAAAATCATCAATCACCATGAAGTTTCTTCTCGAAGTCCTTCTCATCACAGCTATTTGTTTGTTTTCTTTAAAATTTCAGATACCATTGCAGAAAAAATTAGCATCAGAGCTATCATTCATGCAATTTTTTCACAGATATCACACTATATGCAACAAAATTCAGCTAGAGCTTAAAGAAACTTAGTAACAGAGCAAATCTGCTGTTTGGCAGAAGCATATATGAACATTAGATATCGTCATATAGATGCAGGGATGGATGGTTCACACACAAACAGTAAAGGCCGGAATGAAGAATCGTTACTGCAAATGGCATAACATAAAATGTATTAAAACTGGTCTGTGCATTAAAAATTTTTCTTCATTTTCTTTTATCCATCTACAAACTTAATTGAACTTAATTAAAGACAGCAGTTTAGAAGATTGTGTAAATGTAAATTAGAAATAAAAGAACAAGATATCAGTAATATGGAAATCTAGTATTATAAAAAGTTATGCTAGAATTGTACATCATAAAACTGCAACTCATACTGGTCTCATGATATTCTAAATTCTCTTAGGTATCCTTGTTTTAAAAATATTGTTGCGTGCGTACGGGTTCATTACGAAATGAATGCACAAGTCCGATGAAAAATTAACAAAAATTTATTATTATCACAACAAATATGCTTAAATTTCCTAAAATATTCGTGCAGTATTACTATATTTCACAGTAGTTATCTTTTAACTACTCAAACATTCAAGAGAACTTATCTCAAAACAGCTAGAGAAAGCTAATCCGCGAATTCGCTACAGTCAACAAAAGCAGTTTTCTAAACAGACTCTTAAAACAACAACAAACTAAGTAAATACTACGAACTGAGAGGTTTTCCTCCTTTTATAAGATTTTAAAATCACACGCGAGAATGTTCTAGTACTTTCTTGAAATCAAAAAGAGATATTTATTAAATGTTACATGCACATGCTCTTGTATTTTCAATTTTTCGGCTTAGCTTTCTTTTAATATTTGTCACTCGCTGCACTGCGCGGAAAATAAAACCATTTAATTTACAATTCAACTAACATACGCTATTTAAATTCGAAATCCGTAACACTGCCCCCTTCCCGAGGACTGCACGACCCGGGCAGTACAATCCCTGGAGAGGAAGCCAAACTTACAACTAAGGCATAAATACAACTGAGGCATAAACATTACATTACAATAACAAACGACAAAAAAATAATTACAATAAGTAATTTAAAGCAAATAAGTACTAAATAAATAAATGAGTGCACAAATTTAGAAATTTATAAACAAAAAGGGACCATGGTCTTATACTATTTACAATTATTTACAACTATGTACTATGGCCATAGTAAAGAGCTAACCTGTCGTAATGAACGACTTTAGGTTTAGGTTCGATTACTTACGTAGTTCAATTTTTGAACAGATTTGATATTTATAACTAGAATAGAATAAACATTAATTTTTTTTTGTTTGCTATGGGTTATAGACTGGCAACGTTTAGTTGAACTAAGCACGTCTCCACATTACGATCGAACCAGGACGTCATTCAACCTGTTTAGGACTGTGTACGGACCATCCCAAGGTGACTGTAATAGCTTAGGACATAGAGTCCCTTTCCGTCGAATCGGATTCCACAACCACACCTTGTCTCCTTCGTTGAATCTGAAGTCCAGTAGCTCTCGTGTCGTATCGGGTCTTCATTTCTCCATGTCGCCAAGTTGACTCACTCTCATGTGCAAAAATTTGTGCATCTCTTCAAACCGGGTCTGAACATCTTGAATGTGTTCCTCAGGCGATGAAGACGCAACCATAGGGCGACCAAACATTCGGTCACAAGGCAGATGAAGGTTTCGGCCGAAGAGCATCTGGGATGGAGAACAGTTGGTAGTCTTGCGTTTCTTTTTCACCCTAGTATGATTTCGGCAGCTTCCCGAGCTGGGTCTTTCGGACAAGGTGTCGGCATTTCCATGTGAGGATCCTTTTGAGGATGGATAGTCCTGTCAGCAGATGCTAAAAGTAGTTTGCTGTTTTTAAAGTCTAAGGAAAAATTGTATTTCCTTAAAAAGACCAATCCGAGTATGCATGGATCTGTAATACCCGCCACATAAGCCGTGGGATAGTAAGCGGCACTTCCAAACGTGATGTTCACGTTTAACTTCCCAGCTATCTCGATCTTGTCACCAGACGCAGTCTGAAGGGAACACAGGATGGCGTCCAAATAAGTTTATCTTTAAACTGTTCAGCTACATCTTTCCTAATGATGGTAACATTAGCTCCTGTGTCAATGATCATATTACAAGGAACTACATCAATATTTCCATTGATAGACACAGGGTTGCCACTCAAACAGGAGAATAAAATTCCCTGACTTTTCCAGGTTGTCCAGGTGTGTTTCAAGAAAATTCCAGTCTATCCGCGTAATGTACGCTGGCTGTGCTAAGATGTAAATTAATTATGGTATTACTTGTATTGTGTAGCATATTCACTTAATTATTCAATAAATCTCAGAGGACATTATTCTATTATCTTGGTATACTTTGTGATAATTTTGCTTAGTTTTCCACTTAAGAAACTTTATAAAATTTAAGATATATATATATTGGATAACAAATGTATGTTTTATTTAATTTTACTCATGATCATCACCAGTTGAACACGAGGCTAATCCGGTCCTTATAAATCACAACGCAATGCTAATAGTTCGGTTAGATTTTTAAGTAAATTTAATTTGCGTGAGGTATGTTCTTAAAAGGCACCTTAACACTTGAAAACACAAATATATTATAATAATTGTTGTTTTCTCCATTGAAGATTGAGATTAGAATCTTCCCAATCTGGAATAAAATAAGGCTTTTTTTGCAGACATTCTGCAGCTAAACGAAAGAAAGAAATCTATTTTAATAAATTGAGGTATTTTATATTATTTCGAAGCATACATAAGGAAAAAATATGTGCATAAATTTCGTGATGGTATGTCATCATACTGCTATAATTAATTTCAGGATTATGACAGAGAAATTTCCTGAAATTTGAAAATATTATTACTAATAATAAATAAATTTAGAGGGAAGAAGCAACATTAAATTATGAAAACCATAAAAATAATTACTTAAAATTGAATTAGAATAATCAAACGATATTTTAGCGAATATAGTTATATTACCTGGCTAGCCTAGATGACCGATTACTATTTTTATTTTACTGCAAAATGACAAAGTATTTATTAAAAAGAAAAAGAAAAGGTTTAAAAAGATTTTGCGGTAAAATTCTAGTATACGGTAAGGCTTTGGCACGATTTTGAAAATTGTCGCCAAGACCAAAATGACCCGTTTATTGCGCATCAAGATGTCGCCAAATCCCATTATTATTCTAACCAAAGAACGTCTATGTAAAGAAGAAAAGGTTCCATACAAGTAAAATGCTATTACGCTGCTAGAATGCGGAGGGAAAATTTGCCAAGGGATTTGGCGACGGAACCTGGCGGCCAGAATTTCCCTCTCCGCGATGTGTACAGGAAATTGAGAAACACGTGTTAAGAAGAAACACTCTTTGACAAAAAGAAAACTACGAAAATCCGTTTTTAAATTATTGCGAAAAATCCAAGAAGAAACGTTTTATCAAAGGACGTTTCTTCTTGGATTTTTCGCAATAATTTTAAAAACGGATTTTCGTAGTTTTTTTTTTTTTTTCCCTGAAAATAACTAATCCATGAATTAGTTTACTTGCGCCAAAAAATATTTTCTTTTCCTTAGAGTTTAACCACTTCCGCTAAGACTAACTTCACGGTTGCGGTGCCGTGCGCTACAATATAACAAGCGGTAAAAGTGTCTCATTTACGCCGTTCCGCATCTGCGAGTGCAATCCAGAGCTTAACTCGAGAAATAAACAATCTCGTTGTTAGGCGACGTGTGCACCACGTTATTTTCATTTTTGCGATAAATGCTTATCGACGTGGTGTTCACGTCGCTCGCGGTTTGAGACAAAAGCATCTTGACGTGCGTGGCAACGTCTTTTTAGCGCAAGTGGGGTTAAAGAAATTTTAAACGATATTCATTTTATGACTCTTGATAACGTGACCTTCGAACTTCGACACCGGTTTCGAGCTTTGGCAACAGATATATCAGACATGCACAGCTGTTCCCTCTATGATGGAAACGGAGTCACAGCCACGTCTATTGCAGAGAGGTTTTCCTTCTTTACAATACATATTTCTTTGATTCTAACTCCATGTACCGTATACTAGGATAAACCCATTTTGTTTTATACGAGAACAGGTACTTTCTTAGTCATGCACTGCACATGCGATCTCGAGAATACTGGAAACCAAAAGTTGCTTTGCCTTTCAAAAGACAATCAAATTGGAGCTGCGAAAATTGGCTCTATGCCAGCTACCCGAATGACACTCACGTGATGCATAATTCGCCCAAAAAGTTACCTCTTCCGACGTCGGCGCAAAAATCGCTTTTTTTGGCGGGATCGTTGTATGAACTTCCCTGACTTTTCCCTGAATATTTTGGTCAATTTTCGAATTCCCTGACTTTTCCCGGTTTTCCAGGTAGCGTGGCAACCCTGTAGACAGTCCGTTATTGTTGCCACTCACTCTAGAAATCTTGAGTGCTTTAAAACAAGGTTTTTCATTATCTGGCAACCTCCATTCCTTGATATGGTCATTAATTTGTTTCCTGC